AAGAAGAAGAAGAAGAAGAAGAAGAAGAAGAAGAAGAAGAAGAAGAAGGAGGGGAAGGGGAAGGGGAAGGGGAAGGGGGAGGGGAGAAAGGATGAGAGAGGAAAGAAAAGCAAGAAAAGATAAACAGGGGGTGGGGAAAACCTGACCATCCTTTTCAGCCAAAGGACTACCATTTACCTTAAGGAGTTCATAATGTTGAATGCCATTCACTCCAATGTCAGGATCAACAGCTGACGGGACAGAATAGCGGGAATTGATCGCGGTGTTCTCAGGGATGGAGATATTGATGACCGTGGAGGGGAAAAGAGGAGCATTATCATTTATATCCTCAATCAGGAATCGAATCTTGACCAGCCTGAAGACCTCATCAGGAAGAACTGCAACTTCCACCTCATAAAAACAACGGTTCTCACTAAAAATGCCAGAGCAAAGCTTTTCCCGATCGATGCGGTTGGCCGTGGTGAATATTTCTCCGGTATTTTCCTCCACGCGGACGAGGGGGACATCACCAGTCTTGTACACGAGCTTGAACTGAAGCGGGGATGAAAGGGGCACATCGGGGTCAAGGGTCAGGTTGAGATCCTTCAGCAAATTGCCAATAAGGACATTTTCCGGTAACTCCTCCCTCACGGTGTAATTCTTCTCCTGAGCGCCCGACTGAAACACGACGCAGACCAGTAAGACTGCCAAGAGGTAAGTCCCAGAAAGCAAGTCCATCTCCAGAACAGCTAAGGTGTTGTCCAGCTGAACACCAAGCAGAGCTAGAAAAAGAGAAAGAGAGAGAGAAGGAAAAGAAAAGGTTGTTATTAAAAATGCAATGGGAGAGAGAGCACTAATCTCATTTATTTCTCCACCAGGGTTTGCCACAGAGACAGTCAAGCTATTCCCAAAAGCACCTGAGGGCAGGACAAGAAGCAATGGATGGGAACTAATCAAGGAGAGAAGCAACCTAGAACCAAGGAGAAATTTGCTGATAGTGAGAACAATTAATCAGTGGAACAACTTGTCTCCAGAAGTTGTGAGGAAGTTTTTTAAGAAGAGATTGGATAACCATTAGTCTGAAATTCCCTGGTATAGAGTAGGAGGTTAGGGTTAGGGTTAGGTCCCTTCTACTCTACTCTACTCTACTCTACTCTACTCTACTCTACTCTACTCT